CGAATAATCGAGTTCAGATTCGTACGGTATCTTAGGCCCTAGATACCCTTCCGCGAATCAGGCCCGACCGTATTAACGAGTTCATTATCTATATACCAGCGATGTCTACAGAATTCGTTTAGTAGTAGCTTCACACTAACTACGGTAAGTCGAAGCGGATTAACTAGGATATAAGCCCTAGAAGCCGTCGTGCAAAGTGCTAGGAAGGGTTTTAGCAAGTTATAAATACCAAAGATAGAAAGCCAGGGATTATATATAATCACTACCGTACAGTTCTCGCGCATCTAGCTACGAACTATACTAGAACGTCGACAATACAGAAACATCTCGATAGACTAAGATACCGACAACGACTACCGAAGAAAGGTACTAGTAGTATCCATTAACTACTTAGTAACGCGGTATATTCGAACTAGCCTATATTAACGTTAATACTAATACTTAGTTCACTCTCCCTTAGGCCGAAAGAAGACCAGCGCCTACCTTTACCTAACGAACATAGGAGCAGAAGATTCTTAATCTCATCACTACATCGTAATTACCCTTCCGACTCCTCGAGCATTAAGAATTCCACAACCTCCTTTCCTACGCACGGCTAGCACCTACACCACTAAGCGTCCCATCGAGAAAGGTTATTCGCGAGCGCCTCCGGAGTTTCGTTATAGAGTATCAACAAGACACACTACAACGGCTCCTATCTAGTGTAAAACTATCACTTACGCTTAACTACTAGACTTCACCATTCCAGGATATATTTATAGCTATAACGGGATGTTTCATAGACCAGGAATAGGAGTATCGCGAGGTCCTCCTTAGGTTTAAGCCACTTTCTGGAACTCACTCTAGCGTAAACCTCAGTAAGGTTATTCTCCAGATTTTACAAAAACACCAAATCACCGATCGTGTACTAGCGGTAACAACTAATAATACGTCTAATAATAAGACGCTAATCACAGCGGTGAATAATTCAATCCGCGAACTACAGCTAAAGACAGATTCTACGATTATTCAAGTACCCTACCTTACGTATATTATTTAATTAAGTCTAATTGATTTACTTAGTAAAATCAAGGCTTCACCAAAAAACGACGCTACCGAATCAGCATAGTCTAATAATCGTGTACGTTTACTTCGTGCGCGCTAGCAGAAACATAAGATCGCCGATACTCTAAACAAGGTAGGTTTCTATTTAAGTGTCTTATATAAATCACTAACTATCCTTATAGGTTCGAGGTCTTACGGTTTATATCAACAGAAGCCCTTAACGTAAGGAAGCCTTCCTAAATCTCTAGTCTAATAGGCAAAAGCTTATCCCAATCCAGGACGTTCGTACGCGATAGAATTCGACGTTTCTTATACTCCGACGGGCGAAAAGGCTTCATATTATATTCGACGAGTACTATTCGCACCATAATTAACCCCATTTTACATTAAGTACAGAGGGATAGCGATAGATTAACTATCTACTTTATATCCTTTAGCCCTTCTTCACGTTCACTACGCTAGTTTATCAAACTAAAGACTCGAGTATTCATCTCATCTTTAGTATTTATAATAGGCTCTTTAATCATCTTAAAAGATCTATACGTCAGCTTCGTCAAAAGAAGGTTTCCTAGAAGCAGCTAATACTTTCCTCCCTTAAGGCTACGAAAGATAAACTCTCGAAATACTACGGTATAACAGATAATATCGAAGGTGATCTCTATATAATTAGAACGATCTTAGATCCGTCGAACAAGATAGAGTTCTTTTCAATAAGTAATTAGGCCCCGGATCACACAGGAAAGAACTATAAGAAGGAATACCGTAAGAGCCTCCAGTCTCTTTTCGAGAGATATAGCCGACGTATACCATCAGATATAACACAGTCTAATAGTAGGCTATCAACAACTAAATCAGCGCTTAAGAGGGCTTATATACATAATCTATCGAAGCCATCAACCGGTCCGTAGCACGATAAGCTTACTAGATATCTTTAAAGTAGTAAGTGGGTAAACCTACTAAATAGATTATCAAACTAACCTTCTTAGACACTATCGATAAATCCGCGCGGATCTTCTAGAGAAATAATAAGAAGGAGTTCCCTATTCTTACAAGCATTACCCGTGATATAATATCTATTCTAGCGACTAGTGCCAGAGTTAAGCGTCTTTTCAACTCTACTCGGGACGTTTACCACTACCGCCGGGGTTCGTTAAACCCAGAAACTATTCGCGATATCATATTATATTTATATACAACAAGGTTCGATATCAAGGAGGAGCAGCGGCTAATTCTCCAGGAGTATTTTTCAGAGCAAGAGATCGCAGCCACGTCTAAAGAACTCGACATCGAGATATATTGCTCCGAGGCTATCAGTAATACTAAGGAAGACATCGAGTTACACCTTAATACACCGGTCGTACCACCACTCTCAGAGGTCGCTACTAGAAAGCGGCCGGCGGTCACTTTTAATAATAAGGGAGTCTCTAACGTCGATGAATTTGCGGATCCAGAAGAGAACTCGGTATCACCCTTACCTAATACGCAGCATCGTGTATCAGGTAGGATACGGAAAAGGTCAAGACTTCTAGATAGGTATATAGTTTAATAGTTTAAGACTTAAGAACCCTATATTCGAATCTAAATAATCATGTAAATAATTAATCATTTAAAGCCCTATAACCCATTCGAAGATAAACCTATGATATACACTAAATGCTCCTGTAAGGCCATATAGTAATGAAGTTTTAGTTTACAATTACAAGAGAAAACGGCCTGTTTCTACATAATATATGCAATTGACCCCGAGTGACGTTTTTTACCTATTTGTCATGTTTGTTGCACCTCAGGTTTACCCGCGGGTTACCCTCTTGAGGGTCGACCCTCGAGCTACCGCACCTGAGGGTCGGAATCTTGGAACCTGATCCGCCCAAGCGGAGGGTTAGGTGGAGGGTTATGAGGGTTACCCGCGGGTTGGTGCCAGGTCTATAGGCTATCCAGGAAAGTTACCCTATCACTTGTCTGTATTCATTTAGACTCTCAGATACAATCACTACCTAAATACAGTTGTGAGATCCGATCCCTGCAAACGAATACTGTTGTAGTCAAGTTAATGAAAGCCTAATGATGGATTAGATGGAAGGTTGACGTTTACGATGATGTTAACGTTGATGTTAACGTTGATGTTGACGTTGATGTTGATGTTGATCTGCGTTGACAGACGGAAGGTGAGTCGTTCAAAGGGCGCTGGCTGGGTCAACACCGTTGAGCACATTTTTGTCTGACTTGAGGGAAGGCCCCACCCACCCGCATCGTTTTCAATCAAGTTGGTCTTCTCGTCGTATGTTTAGCCTCATGCCTCCCTCTGAATACAAATATTACTTTGACAGCGAACTCGTATGTATGGTCGTATGGTCCTGAATCTCTCCAGTCGTCCCACAGTATTATGACCAGTGAAAATCTACACCGGTTTCCTTCCTGGAAACATAACTGTGATAAATCATGTAATTACGAAGAACACTTTTCCACCGACACGCCTGCTGGCGGACTAGACCCAGATCGCCTTTAAACTGCTGTAATGTCAAGTCTAAGTGAGGCAGTAGGAAAGTAGATACATGTGTCTGGTACTGTAACAATGTGCTCTTGAATTTCCTTCCCCTCATGTAACGGATCCTAGTCTGAATAATTCCAGGAGCCAGGACATTCAATATACAATCAGATACACTGAGAGGATCAAGTAGGTATTCAGCAACTACATCCATCGCAATGGTGATTTGAGTGTGGAAATCCAATGATGCGGGATCAGCCTGAAACGAACACAAATTGACACCGACTAAGTACGTGGTCGATGTCTTCATTGTGAGCTTCCACCTACGCAGGGCCGACTGACGCAGAAAGCCACTTTCTATTCCCAACTTTCAAGACCATGATACACTGGCGTCTGTGTCATCGGCAGCACAGTCAACAGTCTACGTAGGCCTAGGTTTATCGAAGACCAGCCTGTAAAAAAGCGACTACGTAGACGATTGAAGGAATTGACTGCAGGATGGAGGGACATAGTTCAATAAGGCCAGTCGAGACATTTGCGCCGATGATGCATCGTGGTGTATTAGCTGCAAGACCGGTCGGCCGCGCCTAGGGCGGCTAGTCTGGATGAGATACATGGCTGTGCGACATGATGTTCAAGAAGGCTGAGAAGGGGGTCATTGAAATGGCAGGTGGACGGAAGAACGTCACGTCTTGTCGCGCCATCGACGATCAGGACGGTAATAATTTCTAGATCAAAGCCAGAGAAGGCTGCTGAGGTCGGTAAAAGTAGTCAAAAATGAAGAACCTGGGGATGCCATAGAATTAGGAACCTTGGAAATCATACACAGCCATGGAGATGGACACACAAGATGACACGAAGGTATCACAGGAACTCAGTGGAGGAGACGCAACCTCCGCAATAACAGCAGATTTTGCACATCCACGCCCTGGCGCCAACGACCACTCGTTTGATTGACGGGGCCCATCGAACAAAGTCGATGAACGTGATGATCTGCAGAATAGTCTCTGATGTATCTAGCGTGATATGGCTATAAGCAATAGATGTCTCTCGAGTCTGTCCTGTGTTCGCTTCTCTCACATGAGGCTTTTACACCATCACGGCTTCCTCTTCATAGCTTCTCACATCTACCCAGAACCATTTTTCGGGTGAAATTGACATCACTCAACACAGAATTATCTGCGCTTTTCTGCTCAGCAATAAAATAGGTGTGCATTTTTTGAAAGTCAAATCAACTTGTCTTCGGGAGGATCGAGGCTTGTGGTAATGTGTCACGTGACAAGAGAGAAGCGGGATGAGGAACTAAGCTGCACCGGTGTGGTTGAAAATCAGCACCCACATGGAAGTATACATCTTTCCCTATTTGGACGGCTCTATCAGGACCAGGATGGGCTCGATACTGCTAGAGACGGCGCGTTTTGGAAAACGATAGCAAGGGAGTGGCAACTTTCATAACTCCCACCCAGGAACTTCAGAGCTCGGGGAATGACTGGACCAAGCAGGGATGCAGGTCATTTCCTTCGGGGCCCGAAGCGTCATGGCACCCGGAGAGGCCGAGTTCAGCCCGCCGGTGGCTACTTTGTAAATGGCTCTGCAGGGCAGTGGGCTCAGGCTTGCCGAGCACGCAGCTTGCACTGGCTGGCTGTCTCACATATGCTGGCCCTCTTGTCGCCCACATTTGGGCTGAATCGCTCCACCGGTATTCCTTGAAGTGCCAGCGGGTGCAATCGTGTATGGGCCGCTTGCCGAACGAGTCTGCATGGCCCATTGAGTTTGGTGGGATCATCGGCTTGTTTTTTGGAGAAAGTGTTTACATCGGAATTTTCCTGAATTCTCCGATTCGTCTCGATTCGTTCGCCAATTTTGCTGGAACACAGCGATCCGCTAGCATAAAGATCCAAGTCATCGCCAAGGCCGAGCGGGTGACAAGCTGGAATACACATTCGCTAAATCCTCGCAAAGGACGGGCCGATCGAGATCGGTAGGTATCGATCAGCCGGCAGGTAGATATCGTTACTCGGAAAGAATTAGAAGGCTCGCCAACGGTGAGCTACTTGTCGTGAGCAAGAATGGCACATGGTGTAGGTGCTACTTGCCCAGTCAACCCGACCATTTGGGTGGAAAGACAGCGCGGTGTCTCCGAGGACGTCGAAGTTGGGATGGACGGAAGGGAATACGTCTCCGATCATAGGACATCGGGATGCTCATTACTGGACAAAATATGAATGAGGGATGCCGGGCATTGAGTCTGACGCGTCGCTGAGCACTTGGCACCAGGGTGGCCTCGGTAAAGATCCAACGCGACGGTAAAGGCGGTGAGGTGGTGCAAGACGCGTGCAAGTTTGCGCCGTGATCTGCAAGACGCGTGCAAGTTTGCGCCGTGATCTGCCAGTCCCGCAGGATTGGTCTGGTCGCTGCGCTAGAACAATAACCCTTCTGTCAGTACAGTATGCATTCTCTCAAAGAAGAGCCCACTAACAAGTCTTCGTCTTCAAGATTCCCCACGCTTTACTTCCCTCTAAAGATGCTCGGTGGACTGTTTGGACAACGCACGGCTGACTTTGGCACTGATCAGCCCGACTTCCCTACTTTCGACCCAACGCCTCGTCGTATTGGTCTGCCCTTCAGCTAAGATCATGTGTGATGATTGATGGGCAATATTGCGGAGTAGGCGCACAAGATGCATTGCGTAACGGAGCTGGTGACCCTAAAGGTTGGGGGGGCGGTTGCTCAAATCGGTCAGTGAAGGGCTCGGACATTATCAAAGGGGAGAAACTCATCATGAGAAGAATCATGAGACTGCTAACCCAAAGGGTCGAGTGACCCTTTGGCAAAGTATGGCAAATGATCCGATGTTCAAGGTGCGGGCCCAATGGCGCACGACAGTCCCTTCAGTCCTCGTCTGTCCCTCGTTGATGACGAGGGCTGCATTTGGGAATTTCCCAGCTATCGCATGCGATGCGACACTAGGGACGGTCTCGAATTGGTATTCTACTTCTGCTGCAAGGGATGTATCTAGTCTTATAGACAACATCTAATCGCCGCATGGTCAATTTTCGATGCGACTGTGGCGGTGAAGAGCAGCTAAGCCATCAAAGGAGATTCCCTGCGTAGTCGTGAGGGCCAGCACTGCTTTATCTTGTCCACCAGCTTTACCGATCCTTGAATTGAGAAGCCATTCAGGTTGATCTTGACGAGAACCTTCGATTCAGGAGCCGGGGCGAAAGTCGCTTCATCCACGTGGAGCGGGACCACAAGAAGCCGGCGCCGTCGATGTCGTTGGTTTCGCGGAGTTGGATGAACTGATGTTTAGTGACTCGAAAGTCGTACCAGGCTGTGACGCCCATCGAACGCTCGTGGACTGACCAGTTAAAAAACATTCGTACTCGTCTTGGCAATGGAATCCACTGTCCTTGTTGTGTAGTTGTGGACCACGGCGATGTCTCCCTTTTCAATGGCCACAGAGAAATCAGAATTTTATGTAGGAATGGGAGATGGCAGCAAACTTTGCAGGTAGTCCTGCACGCTCAATAGCCATCCCATCAGACTGGTAGGCGGTCACGAAGGTCGACGCCCGTTGCAAGGAAGAGGAACTCTTGACTCATCGGATGTGGACCTGCGAGATTCTTGGTCCTTGTCTTTTCCGCAGAGAAACCGTTCAATCCCACCGTCAAAGGTGCCATTGACATCTCGGCAGGTTGTGATTCATGACTGCCTCCGATGATTAAGGAGCAGAAAGTTTAAAGCGTAACCATCATTAATCTCACGGCACTACACTACGAACACATTTGACAGAACAGATCAAGCAATTAGAAATCCTAAACTCCGACAACCTCGTCTTGAATCGTGAATCTGCACGTTTCAGGCACAGTAGCCTCCCGTAGAATCTGAAGTTTCCTCTTCAAAGAAATAACTTCTTTTAGAAGTTCCAGAATATTCAGACGAGCCATGGCTAGTATTTGCATTCTCCGTAACCTTTTGGATGACCCAGACTCAAATTTGGGTCTCTTGTCGTGGCACTGATTCACTGCGTCCTCCAGTTGCAAGAAGTTAACATTTAGATTTTGACGGTACCGTCTTTCGCTCTGACCGTGTGAAACCTTTTGTCTAGGTGTCAATAGTTTGCAATTGACGTCTAAGTCGGGCTCCGTATGCCGATTGCGTTGCTCTCGGGATATCTCCACACTGCTTCTCCTAGTCATGGCGCCTTCAGACCACTCCGGTGCTTCATATTTCAGTCGTTCAGGCGTAGAAAGCCAAGGGTGATCTGGCATAACTTCACCATTATCGTATGTTGTGTCCTCGATGTTCTTAGCCAGAAACTCAACAAAAGTAGATAGTGAAAGAAACTAACATTGTTCCCAAAGAAGGGAAGAACGTCATTATTCAAATGGTTTCTGGATCCAGGCCCAATTTGCAGCTCGTTATAAAAAGGACCTCCGTTGACGCAAGTCATGCTGCTATCGAAGCCATAGGAGCTTACATAATCTGGATTAAGAAAATTGTTTGAATCGTCGACCTGCCCTGGCCTCTGACAAAGGCTGTGCGTTAGATGCTGCATGATTTTTTTCTGTGCCCTTAGGCTGGCGGTTGCAGGATCTTTTAATTCTAGGGGCCACGGGGCGGCGGAAGGGGATTTATCTTAATTTTATCCCCGGCCTTTTTTAAATGTTGTACTGGAAGCATTGGAGCTTAACTATATTCGCCTCCAATAAACCTTTGGAACCACAATTCTTCGTCGATGAACCGCATGCACCACACAAAGGGGAGACCTATAAGTACGCTGATGACACTCGGCCGGTCAAATTTCTGGAGAATTAGTGGCCCCCCCACTAGTATCTAATGTTTGCTTGATGCAATGAGAATTATTGAGGTATGATGATGCTAGCGACTGGCTAACGGTCCATGGACCATTAAACCATTCGACTAATCATAAACACCATAATTCTGTTGGGAGAGTCGTCCGATGGGCAAAATGCAATTCCAGGAATCGTCAAAAGTTTTGATTGAAAGATGTAGACAAATCACGGGGGCAACTAGACGGCACGCACGATTAACCCCTGGCTGAAGGCCTTTCTCAGTCTTGGCGAAACTACCTAGCTTATTGTGAACCGGCACCGACGTAAAATTTCCACAATCAAGTATGTCATTCGGCGGAAGTTTTGCGCGGATTGTTACATTCCAAGGGAGAACCGAAGATTTCCTCTTGGGAGACCGATTTTGCGGCGTTTTCTGCGGCGGGAGAGCCGTGGGTCGTGGGGGGCCAATGCGGCGACCCCGCACTTTCTGAGGGTTGAGCTTTCTCGCATCAATCAGGATACATCGTTTGCTATTGCTCATTGTCCTTAGATATATCCCACCTAGATTGCTGGGTAGGGAATCAGCTTTATCGAGAGTGGCCCGGGGAGTAAAATAGGTCGTCGTCGTCCTATGATGTCTTTCTCCAGTCGGGAGACTGGTCGATCCACGGACTAGGCCATCGACCTTCCTGGATACCGGACCAGACCTAACGGCAATCTTACTACGCGACGGAGACAGGTATAGACTCCAGAATCCTTAAGTAGATACTTTTTAATAATCTAACTATTAGTAGCGTGGTGAGGTTATACGTCGTTGTACTCCGTACATTGGGTCATGAGGGTCAAAGTGGTTATTGTGCGACGGATGGCGATTCTTATCCGTTCTCATCGAATTTATCACCGTGTCCGCTGCTTACTCACCCCGCTCACACTTAAACGTAACTAACTAACTAGTTAACTTAGTTGATATGTTATCACATTAAGAACCGATCAAAAAAACCATGAGCCTTCTAATAACCTCATCTTTCATCGTCAATCTGCAGGTTTCGGGCAAAAAAGCCTCACGTAGAACCCGAAGCTTCTTCTTCAAAGACATTACTTCTGTTTGAAGTTCCAACATATTCCGACGAGCCATTCCTAGTAATTTCACTCTCCACAACCTTTTGGATACAACAGTGCCAGTCTTCGTATTTTCGCAATGGTCTCGACTCACTACATCTTCTAATTGTAAAACCTGGCGTCGGGATTTCGACGGTACCGAGTTTCGCTCTGACTGTGTGCAATCTTTTGTCTTGGAGTCATTAATTTGCAATTGATGCCTACTTTGGATTCTGCCTCCAGGTTGCGCTGTTCTTTCAAAGGAAGAGTTGAGCGTTCGATAAGAATTGAGGACAGGATGTGTGACTCTTGGTATGCTTGCACGCTACTGAGTCTACTCATAGAGCTATTAAACGGCGTTGAGACTTGAATATTTGGCAGTGCAGTTGATAAATTTCAAGGGTTTTCTAAAATGACAGCACATGCATCATACGTTAGGTCCTTGATATCGTTCTTAGCTTGATAATTAAAAGTAATGTATACTGAATGCAACTCAAATTATTCCAAAGGAAAGGAAGAACCTCACTATTCAACAAGTTCGTAACTTTAGGCACACAAGTTCGCAGCTCGTCATCATGAAGTTTTTGGTTTTCGTAGGTCTTGCTACTCTCAGAGCCACAAGGTCCTAGCCAACCTAAATCAAGAAACCTGTTCGGACCTTCCACCAGATATGGTGTTCGAAGAAGATTTTGCGGAAGATCCTGCATGATCTTAGTCTCTAGGGTGACAGTCGGAAAATCCTTCAATTCTGGGTCTGAGGCATGCGTAGGATCCTTTCGATGAAAACATAGTCTCATTTAAATAGTTAGTCTTCCCCTGCATTTGATACTGGAAGCATACCAGCCAGACTCGAGTTTCCACCGAACTTCGTTTGAAACCATAAGTTTTCATGGATCGTTATAGATTGACCATGTGTACTGTTCATAGGAAGAAGCCTATAGGTGCGCTCAAAACATTCAACCAGTCAATTTTCCGAGGATAATATATCGTCAATTGATTCCCTAGTAGCTATTATTTGCTTGCTATCAGAACTACTAAGCTATGACCTAACCGAGGGCTATGAGTTATTCAGCAAGCCGACCAAGTTATAATCGCCGCAGGTTTAATGGAACAGCCCTCCGATGGGCGGGATTAATATCCTAAAAGAACCGTCCAATGATTGACTGCCCCCAAGACCGAGTCGAATCTACGGAGGCTACAAGATAGTAGACATGATCAGACCATGGCAATGCAACTACGCGTTTGAAGATTGTGGAACCTCAGATATTCATTTCCGAGGTTGGCTCATTACGGTTTGGCATCAAGGCAAGACTTCGGTCGACGAGTAATTCATTGGGCGGGTGTTTCTGGCGGTCTGGTGTAGTTTGAAAATAAATTTCTATTTTCCTTGGGAGGCAAGAAATCTAACGGAGGCTACTCCCAGAAGGGGAGAGAGGGAAGGTGGCGCCAACCTGCGAACCGACACCATTTGTCCGCGGGTTGGTCTTTCTGGCATCATCTTTATAAGCGGATCGCACCACACTGCTTGCTAATAATACTGGTGGTGGTTAATTCTACCACGTATGTGTGACTGGACAGCAAATCCGCTCTATCGAGAATGGTTCGGGGAGTAAAAAGAGTTCGCCAGGTGATCTGAGGCTGCAACTATGACATTCCCGCATCACATGTCTAGACCATTCTAGATTCGGTCTGATAGAGTGGCAGTAGCTTGCGTCTAACTACAGTGTCCCGTATCTGGACGGGTGGATAGAATTCTTTGGCTCTAGCAATCATTAATCATTTTTTATCGTTTTATCACTTTTTTAATCGGATTCATTCTGTTCTCGACTTGCGGTCCGGCTTCCCCCTTATCCATTTATTTCTTCCCTGTCTGTTTTCGATCCTATTTTGTTGTCTCTAGAAAAGACGCGGCCTTATATAACCGACACAGCCGCTGGAAAACAAGATTTTATTTCCACAGGTCCATTATTGAATACATTATCGTTACTCGGTTTTGACTGTCATTCCTTTTTGGGAAATATATTCTTCTCCCCAGCTCCCACCACCCAACCGGTCTTCAATCACAACAAACACAGAACGGCCAGGCTGCAACCTACCTTATGATTGTGTACCGGTATTACTATACTCTGGCCTCGAGCCTTCAACCGCACCGCCTTATCCAACCTATCCCTCGAAGATGAGAGCTATCTCAATCAATAATTAGGTCCACAGTCGCGCCCCATGGATTTGTTCCCCACGACTAAGGCCTCCGACCCTCTGCCCGGAAATTGGTCCTACGACAGCGCCTTTGACCTATTCTCCTTGAACCCTGCCGACATTAACCCCGTCTCCTTCGACTTTGCCGACAATCTGACCAATGCCAACTTCAAAGATCTTTTGATGGATCCATTCGGCATACCCACTGCCATCAGCGGGTTCAGCATGCCCACGGCCGAAGACGCCGTCTCGCCCTCTTCGACACCATCACTTAACTCGTCCCACATACAAACATCCAAACTAACCTCATTTCAAGATCTCAACAGTGACGATCAATCCTGGTACGTGAGTACCCGCCCCTCCATCGACATGACCGTGCCCTATCCAACCGCACCAACAAAACCAACCACCCGCGCCTCCATCACAAGCACGAACACCAGTACATCAACATCAACCTCACCCCGCTGGTCCCCCAGCCCGGGAATCAAACCCCAACAATATAATCCCCCACGTACCGACAAACGCCGCAAAATCAGCTCTCTCTCTGAAAAATCCACCAGCGACACCTCCGCTTCCTCCTCCGCCCCCGTTTCAGCCCCACAAGACCCCTATGGCCGCAACGCCGCCAAGCGCGCCGCCCACAACATCATCGAAAAGAGGTACCGCACAAACATGAACGCTAAATTCCTCGCGCTAGAAAAGACCATTTCACCAGCCGGCGTGCAGAAATCTTCCCGTGCGGGCGCTGACGCGGGATCGCTGAAGAAATCGGAGATTCTGAGTAATACTTTAGCGTATATCGAGTGTATTCAGCAGGAGAATCTCGCCGCGCAGAAGGATTTGGCTATGCTGAAGCAGGGGCTTAGTCTTGGTATGAGGAGGGGTCCGAAGAAGGGTCGTTCGTGAGGGTGATTGAGGCTGTGTGCTGATATTACCGTTGACGTGCCGTCGGGGTTTTGCTTGTTTAGCCTGGCATGGCTTCCTCGGTTAACTTGCATATTTTTCTCTTTCCGTTTTGCACTCATGCTCATGACCGTGACGCTGCGATGCGATATATAACTAGAGGTTCTCGCAATCTCCGCTGGCGAATGGAACTTTTGTTTTTGGTTAAGGCGATCGTTCCGTTCATGGTCATGATCATGAAGGCGGTTTATTTGTTTTCTTATTTTCTCTTTGGGGTCAGGTTGGCGCTTGGAGAGACTAGAATAGTCTCTGGGCTTCAGTGTTTCATTCGGAGGCATCTTGGTCGTTCGGAAATTATCCCATCATCATTATTATCGCCATTGCGATTTGTGTCATGCTTGAGTTCTAGTGACAAAATCAAAATTGTAAGTGTGCTTGTGATTGTGCTTTGGCTTGTTCGAGACTCCCCTGCTCCCTATCTTCAGCCAGTGTTTCTGATACTGGTCCAAGCATTAATTTAATTACCGAGACTCGGATGATTCATACAATCTTCTTTCCAGTCATTCGACCAAATTCCTCTCTCATGTATTATTCCTGATTTCCGGGGGGAGGCGCATGTTAATGCGGCGGTAGACTGAATAGAAACCGCGACGTCGACTGACGTGCTCAGAATGAAGGTCATTGCGATGGTATGATGCCAACGAGGTAAATGGGAATTTCTTTCTTGACTGAGTCGACGCGGTTGAGGTGATACGAGCTGATATTTTCACACGTGCGTGTAGGGTGTGTACTTGAATTGAAAGGGGGCTTACAAGCGACGAGACTAGTAGCGGTAGCAACTACTAACCGGCCCCTTTCATAAATTACCATTTATTACGGACCCTCGCTACGCGAGGGTCTACCACCCATACGATATTACCCACCCAAACGATATCGCGTTTTCCCATACTAAACACCCTCTTTCAACCACGCGATTTCCCACCACCAACATGCCTAATTCGAAAGAATCTAATGAATCTATCGAGTCTCGCATCCAATTGGCTATTCTTGAATTAGAGAACGTTGAAAAGCCTAATATAAAGGTATGGGCGCGTGCTAAGAACCTACCGTACCAGAGGCTTCTTGCCAGGTATAAAGGACGCGCATCGCTTTCTGACCGAAGACCTACCGGTCGCCTACTTGATGAATCGCAAGAAAGTGCCCTTTGCCGTTATATCGACTATCTCGATTCAATTCATCTACCGCCTAAGCGACCGGCAATTGCGGCTGCAGCTAATGCTATACTAGCTGGTTGCCATACAAATCCTTCAACCCAACCGCCTACTATCGGTATTCATTGGCTACAGCGCTTCCTCGACCGTTATCCTGAGTATCTATCTCGCCGCCAGAGAGCTATAGATATCGAGAGAAAGAAGTGCCTAGATAGGCAGGGGGCAAGAGATTGGTTCAATTCCTACCAAGAGACGATTACGCGCTACGGGATTACTTCAGATGATATTTGGAACTTCGATGAGACCGGTTTCAATATCGGCGTTGGCAGAGATCAGTGGATTATTACACGCTAGCCTAAGCGTCAGATTTCTGGTGGCCTTAGTACTAATCGTGAATATGCAACGGTTATCGAAGCCGTTTCGGCTACAGGTATTACTATCGCACCGGTAGTAATCCTAAGCGCGAAGCTTCTACTACTACGCTGGTTTGAAGTAGTAGAAGATGAGCGAATCGCGGTTACCGATACTGGCTATCTCAATAACGTACTAGCCCTACAGTGGATTCGGCTATTTCATCAACTTACTAAGGATTCGGTGAAGGGTACTTATCGTATGCTTATATGTGACCAATTCGGCTCACATCTTATATACGAATTCGTCAAGTACTATGAGGATCATCAAATTATCCTCTTCTTCCTACCACCTTACTCTAGCCATATCCTTCAACCACTAGACGTTGGTGTATTTAGTGCATATAAGCACTGGCACAGTGAGTGGGTATATAATGCGACGGTCAGTGGCTACGAGAAGATTACCAAGGACGATTTCCTTGGTGCAATCACGCAGATTCGGCAGAAGACCTTTAAATCTTCTACTATTAAGCTTGGATTTCGATTGACTGGTCTCTGGCCAATCAATCCGAATATAGTGCTTAATTCATTGCCAGATGAGAGTACACCAAGCCCTCCCTTATCGGTGACTACTACTTCAAGTTCATCTGATCTTAGTACACCGAAGACAGCTGAGCGCGTTAAACGCATAGAAGAGCGGCTAGAGGATAAGATCTCTCGTATATAGCAATCACCCTCTCGTCGCCTAGTTCGAAAGCTTGCGAAAGCTGCCACTGAACTATCCTATATTGTATTGGAACTGGAGCAGAGACTCGAGGCTTCGGATTATCTACGAGAGAAGCGATTGGCCCACGATAATCGCTCACGAAAGTCTTCTAAGTTAACTGGTATAGTATCTTCTAGCCAGGTTGAACGTATGAAGCGAATTCTACAGAGTGGTGATGATTTGGCAGCTCTTATGAAGTTGCGACCGTACTACAGACGGAAGGTCCTACCGGAGTTAAAGAAGGTCTGCAAGAAGAAGGGTTATCTAGTTAAATAGTACTATTGATTTCTGTATTCTCCAATCAAATTGCTTTATTTCTGTATACAAATTATCTTCTAAATCGCTCTGTTTTGGTGGGTTAAATCGCATTGAAACTAGGTGGTTGAATAGTATGGTGATGCGATATCGTTTGGGTGGGTAATATCGTATGGGTGGTAGACCCTCGCGTAGCGAGGGTCCGTAATAAATGGTAATTTATGAAAGGGGCCGGTTAGACTGAAACGACCTTCGGGTGCATAGTTTAACTGTGCGAAATGGATGGAGCACATACCCAGCAGCTTACTTTCATTATGATTATGGGGTCATTCTTGATATTAACTGCCAGATGTAATAATTCGTTCTTTTCATTGGCTCTGATACATTGGTGACGCGTACTATCAAAAACAAGTGAACTTTGCGTCATCCATCTCAGGAACAATTACGTAACAAATGCGTAATCTCCCTTTTACAGTAATACAGGATCTCACCAGTCTAACAGACATATAATTTATATAATCTATCAAGTTTATGGTATAGCTGGTTATACTACCTCAAGCAGATCTCACCATCCAGCAACACTTTTTTATTATGAGGCGAAAGCAACGATTCATGACCTTAATCCTCATCGTCGTTATCGCGTTCTTTCTAATCGCCCAGAAGATGTGTCCTCCTTACCATTTCTTCTCTTCAGATACATGCCAATTCACATGAACAACTTGTGGATTTGCCGTTGCGCTCTTTTGATGCGGCTCAAAATACATATGCTATTTTTTAGAGCCGCATAAAGTTCTTCTTACGAATATGTTTATTGTCAGTGTCTCTAGACTCCTCTCATAATGTCCGACGGCCTACTAAACCTAAATCTGAACAGATGACTACATTGTTTTCTAACAGCACTTTAAATTAAAATTCTAATGAAAGAAGATAATGAGTGGTCATCAATTTGAATACAGTGAATGCTGCCATTCTGTCTTTAACCCACTTGAGCGCTAACTAAATTTACTCCGTATCGTTCATCTTCTTCGCGGGGCCTTGGCACAATTTGAACTCGCAGATAACTCTCCCGGTTTTCGCGTCGCGGTCCATAGCGATCAGCCATCATTCTCAGAATCCTCGTGGTGCCGTTCTCCAGGATGAATGATTATTATTTTCTCGTACTTTCCGTGTCCCTTCATCATTTCAAAGAATTCCATAACAGAGGTAATCAGCAGCGCATTTATCGTCGATTCCTGCGCGATAACACGTGCTTGGGCGAGCTTTTGAGATGAGGACATTAATGGGTCATGTCTCATGAGCGCCAGACTGATGAACATGGTGGCCAACCAGAAAATGCCACATGTCCAATACCGATGTTCATACAACGTATTTTTTAGAAATTGACACAGGTTTTGCTTTTTTGGGAAGTCCGAAGGTCCTTCCACATTGTCGGTGTGATTTCTCTCGGTAGACTGACAGTGATCAAATATATGAGCTCCGTATGTGGTCCCAGCAATAGTCAATAGGAAGCTGGAATACAGGATCATCAAGTACTTGATCGATGGCGTGAGAAATGAGTGGAGAGGCACGATATAGTGGCTTAGGGCGCTGACAACAGCAAAGCTTATAGAAAACCCGGTAATACACGAAACTGCACCATATAGCGAAACCGTTCTGTAGTATTGGCGTGCTTCGGGTGCTTTTAGAGATCTCATTACGTCCAAAAAATGTCATTTGAAAGGTACTCCAATCTCCTCCCAATGGCGAGGCCTATCACGTATATAAGGCAATGCTTAGATTCGCGTGATCACATGTTCTGCAGCGCCAGGGAGTGACGTCAACATTCCAGGCCTCGCCCAAAACCTGCCCTCACAGAACCCCGCTATGTCCAGTGTTCCATTCTACTGGCCCTTCCAATGCTTAGCTAAGCTGGTCGCCCCAGACAGGAATTGATAGGGACACAGTAGCCTTTAACTAACTAGTTAACGTAGTTCACGTTTAACCTGATCACACGGTTAAGCTGGTCACCCCAAACACCATATTAAATGCTAATTTTGATTCCTTAATATTCAACCACCCGATGTTTATTTCTATTAAAATTTCAGAATACGCATTTCCTGAGTACAAAAAACAATATACCTAGATAATAAACTATTAAATCTACTATTGCGACGTATTACCTTAAAAATACCTTGCAATTTTGACTTTGGAATAGAAATATATATATTTCAGTAGCTACGTTAAGTCAGCTTTCAATACTGTACTATTAGGTTAGAAGTACTTTCTAGATTATAGAAGCTTAATATCTAATCTAAAATAGATATGGTTGTTGAGATATGAAGTTATGATTTAGCTTTTGATATGGTTCTTGGGGTGACCAGGTTAACCGTGAACTACAGTAAACTCCCGTTTTCGGCACGGGCCTCCGTGCAACAGAATTCCGATGTGCCTAATGAAAGTGTGCCACTAATATCGCGCTAAACCTCATCTAGTAAAAACTAGTCTGTTTTTGGTCTAAAGTAGTCATCCACCCTTCTCTGCTTCCTCCCATTGATCTCGAATCGAGAAAAAAGATAAGCGATCCTCTCTATATCACGTAGATCTCTCTTAGTAATTCCCTCTTAGTACTAGGCAAATTGAAGAGCTTTATGTATATATTCAATAGCTTTAACACGCGAGAGGATATCTAGCGGTGGTCCGAATATATATTCGTCCTAGTTGTCCTCGCTATCCTAAACCCTATTATCCCTACCTATATTTTCTTCTGAAAAATAAACGATAATATTAGATAAATCAGGCTCTTCCACGTCGATATTTTCTCCTAGAGGGTCTAGAAATTTATCTAATGCTATAACCTCTATACCAGGAAGCCAATCGGTCACCTCTACGTATAAATCACCTAGTTAAAGGTCCTCAGACGGAGACGTATTTATCTTATTAGTGCTAGGACTAATAAGCGTGCTCTTAATAAAGCACTTCTGAATAGTCTTATCTAGGACGTCACGTCTCTAAGCCTAGGTAATCCAATATAGTATATAATAGAGGCTCATTCTCTGCGTAGGATCGACGCCGCGGTCTATCATATTAACCATCCATATCAACTATTTCTTCCGATAATAGTGCTTAAGGTTTCTAATAATACCCTAGTCTAATAGCTAGTAAACCGAGGTCGCGTTTAGTAGCAAAAAAACGACTTTAATATTAGACGGCGGTGGCGCATATTCAAGCGTAGAGAGATACGCGCTAAAGTTATCGAGCAATAGCACAACTCGTCTTTATGTGCTAATATACCTATAAAACGAGCGGAACTATTCTTACATAATATTACCGCGTATCTATACGTTCTTATTCTATCGCTAGATATATCCAAGTGCTAGGATATTAAGTTTTCGTAGAGCACGAGGCATCTTCGTAGTGCCTATTAACCATAGAGGCATTCGATCTAAACTAGTAGCATTAGTCGTTACTACGAGAGTAATCCTAGTCTTATCTTTTTTATAACTAGGACTACCCTTACTCGATAGACCCCTATTTAGCATTCGACGCCAGAATAGACCTGTTTTATCTATATTATAGACATCGTTTAGCTAATATTAGTCGTAGATAGCCCGAATAGCTTCTATATCGGAATACATCGAAGCCGGAACCGATACAGATTCGCTATAGGAGGTATAATATCGGATCGAATAGCGCTATTTGAACCGTGATAGCCACCCTTTAGAGAAAAGTGGCGGGTCGAGATCTTTATACTAGGGTATTTTCTTCTAATATTCGACGGCTTTGCTCTAAATTAATAGGCCTATTATAGGAAAACCGGCATTCTCGTGACGCTACTGCCAGATATATAGGGCCTTATCTAATAGAGGCCACCGAGATGCTAACGGGCGTTTGTTCTGACTAGCTAAACCAGTATCAAGATACTCGTATTTAGATAAAAGAATCTTGGAGACGGTCGCACGGTTAATATAACGATTAAATTGAGATGAAAACCACTTAGCGCATTCTCTCTAAGTAGGTTTAGGGCGTGTCTCCGATGCATAGATACGTAATGCTTTTTTCTGAGCATCGGATATGCCTTTGTTGGGTTGTTTTGGTATAGCTAGTTTAGCTGAAAGAGCGACCGAAGAAGGGGTGGAAGGGTTGGAAGGGGAAAAATCCTGTATTCTGATTGGTCGGTTTATATGACTAAGCAAAAATTGAAGAGAATTTTGTGTGCCAGACAAAAAGATGTGCCGGTTAGCCTCTTATATATAGGAAAACTCTAAGAAGTGGGTCCATCCAACAGATTTTGGTGCCTAATAAAAATGTGTGCCTAACCTAGGAGTGCCGAAAACGGGAGTTTACTGTACGTTAACTTAGCCGCACATTATGTAACGTAATTCACGGTCGAGCGGCACACACAGTCGAGCGGCACACCTACCCCCATTAGATGATTTCAAAATTGATTACCTCAACCAACACCCATTAATTTGATTCCGTAACGCGATTTTTACAAACATTAATCCTGTGGCCAATCTCCCCACACCAACTACACTTAGGCGGGGCCCTGGTTCGTGGTGGATTTGCCTGACTAGGCAATTCGCCCTGTCCATGCGATACTACCCCATCACCTTCTACTGGTTGGTTTAGCTGTTCAGCTACCTGTAGGCCCTCTTCGACGGTTAAACCCTCTTTGCAGGGTATCTGCTTAGTTGACCTATTGCGCTTTTTGACGATCTTATTACACGCTACGCGGAGATTCGCGTTCTCATGCGCAAGCAATGCAGTGTTGTGTAGCGCGTCGCAGTGGCCCTTGATAATCCGATTTAATATAGCATTTGACGGGCTCGGTGGCAAGCCTCAATGGGTTAGACTTGTACCTGCGGTTGACGGATCCAGTGTCGGCGCCGCAGTCATTTGTGCTCTTGCATTAGGCTTGAGGTAATTTCACGAGTTCTTGTGAATATAAAAACTTCTGTACATTGTCCTATTGCATCCAAATATTGAGTCCGATCGATCCTAACTTTGCCCACTTGGGGCAGGACTTTAATTGACACGACATACCGAACGTCATTATCGATCTTTGGGAGCCAGCCCATCTGATCCGTAAAAGGAAGCTAGCTGGGAACTAAAGCAGGATTGATCTGCAAATATAAGATACTCCATCGTAAGTTTCCGTGTAGAGGCGCTCAGGCAAGTGGATCAGGAGATCAGGACATTCTATGGGCTCGATACTCCAATTAGGCGCCTACAGCTAGGTCGGCAGCCAGAGCAGCCAGTGGAAGAGAACCAGGTGGTATCGCATGAGGCAGGCGAATCAGCTAGTCAGGCAAATTTGCCTCGCAAGAGGGCTCCGACAAGGTGTAGTGGTGGTGGTTAAATAGGCCATAAGATTCATCGATGTAATAAGCGTTAATTTGCGATGAATTAATATCGTTTTGGTGGAATTACATTGAATATGAAATCGAGACTGAGTTTGGGTGAGCGGGCCGACCGTGTGAGCGACGAGACCGTGAATTACGTTAGGAAGTAATTGCTGCAATTCATCGGCTCTACCTATCGGCGACAAGATAATTGGATGCAATTCACGGTCTAGGCCCGAGAGTTGGGGTATTTAGGCGAAGATCAGTTTGTTTTGTCTCTATACCATTTTAGCAACTACCAATTCGATATTCCAGAAAGGACTGCTTTGATAGGTCAACACTCTAATGTGCTGGTTGTTACATTATACGGGGTACTGTGAGTGCGATAAAGTAGGTATTGGCGGTGATTGAGAAATATATTAGGGAGTCAATATATGAGTGTGGCCTTTTGAGATAAGCATAGATCTGACAGCTATATCAGTAGGAAGTTAGTAGGGGTTACCTCAGAAGACGATGGAGTTGAGACTAGGTCCACTCAGAAACGAGGCTAACTTGTCCGGGATGAAGGGATGTCGGTGAGTATTATCCATCGACTGAGATACTCTACTCATGACGCTAGGACTGACAGACGGGATGGATGGTTTGGAAGTGATGAACATCGACTGAGACGCTCTACAAGTTAACGCCGTGACATGCCAGTCCGCAGGATTGGTCTGGTCGCCGCATTTAAGCAATGACCCTTCTGTCAGTACATTTTGCATTTCTATTATAGAAGAGTCCACTCACAATTCTTCATCTTCGATCTTGTCCAAGCTTTGACTCGCTCTTAAGATGCTCGGCGAACCGTTTAGACAACGCACAGCTGGATTTGGCACGGATCAGCCTGACTTCCTTCCTCCTACTTTCGACCCAACGCCTCGTCGTATTGGTCTGCACTTCAGCCAAGTTCATGGTCGACGAGCGATGGGCAATAGCACTGAGCAGACGTACGAGAT